TATGAAACACTGGCTTTCACACAAAAAAAGTCCTAAACATTGGCGTAAATACTACCATCAGGGTCAATTTCAAGCTACCAATTTGCCAACACTGAACCTGGGGTTGGGAAGAGATGTATATGTGGCAGTCACCATTTGTACAGAATTTCCATCACACAGACACAGGAGTCCTAGGTAAACTCAGCAATGTAGATCATAATCACGTATAGGGACATATTTTGAGTATTCTTTAACCTTTGTTTTTAATATAATTTATTTAACTCTAAATTTATATAATTTACTTTTTAATAATGGCCGTGTTTAGCAACTGGCTTGCAAACATTTTGAAAATTTAACAGTTGCCTCTAGAGAAGTGGAATCAGCTGTCTCTAGCACACCTTTGAATGACAATGACTCTTATACCCACCAGTTTGCTTGCCAAATCTCTACCTATTTGCATTTCTGAGATTTCTGAGACCTCTCTTGTTCCTTACCTGTAGCTGACCCCACCTGATGCTCATTCCTAGCTCATTCTCTCACTTCCTGTCATACCTGTGAATTTGCTGTTCCTGGTAGGCAGGCCCCAAGTATGTGCTCCACCCAAGGGAACATGCCTAGTCCCCAGGTCCCCTTCTTTCTCTCTGGCCACCTTACCATCTTCTCAACCCAAGCTTCCCTGTTGGGATGGCCCCTGATGAGACACTACTAATTTGGGGAGCAGAAGACAGTGTGCATAAGGGAAAGCCATGCTCCTGGGGTGTGAAAGGTGAGCGACGTTGGATTTCTTTTCAGGGCTAGAGAGAACCAGCTACAAAAGAGGGTTTGGCCTACGTTTGTCAGGCTGCCTGCACCGCCCTACTCTTGGCTGCCATCCTTAGCATTTCTGCTGGCGAAGGTGCTTGGCAAATTAATCCCCCAAATGCACAGAAATCTCTCCTGCCAAATTCAATTCTCCAACCAGCGATAAATGCTCACCACTGGCTTGTGCAAGCAAAAACAAAGCACAAACCCAGCAGCAAGGGCTGTGGCATTGGGGATGGGAAATTTACCATCCTTTGAAACCCTGCATGTCTGTGCATCTCAAAGTTATCAAATGAATTAAAGGGCCAAAGAAAAGATAAGGGGTTTGGTAAGCAGCAGTAAGTGTGGCAGAGAAAAGGGTATCCTACCTGGTTCACACATCACCAATAGGCACATCTGTCATCAAGCCTTTATCTGAAGGACACTTGCTGGAAAGAATCAGGCATCTCAGAGGCATATTCAGGAGGAGGAGACACTGTTAGCAGACAGCCCTGTCCTTTGTGTCCAGGATAAGGAGAAAGAAGGGAGAAGAGGGAAGCTAGGCTTGGAAGATAGTGGTACATAGTAAAATGAACAAAGATGGGCTTGGTCTAAATTTAGGCTTCATCACTTTGTACTTTTGTGACCTTGGCCAGACTTGGTCCCATCTCTGAACCTCAGGTTTCTCATCTATGAAAATGAAATAGTAGTATCGTAGAGGATGGTATTAGTGTTTTATCCGTATCTCTTGGCAATCACTATTCCTGGGCACCCAACCTGGAGACTTCTGACACAAGAACCTGGGGATAATGGTCTGATAAGGGCTTTCAGGTTGTACTGTGTATGTGTGTATGTGGCACTGACCAGGTATTGTGGGGAGTTAATTCATTCTCCCAACTGGTAGCAACCTTCAACCCATGACTGGCAGGAGTTGGAGGATACATCCCCCAGCTCCCTCACCCCTCAGTGGGATGACTGAGGTGTGCTCCACAGATTTCCAGAGTGCCCTGCTGTGATGGAGCCTCACTGTCCTGCAGTAGTAGAGTGCTCCAAAACACACTTTATTAGCTTCTTTCCCTTCTTTTTCTTTTCTTCCCTCTCCTGACTGGTACTTCCTGGGGTCAAATCCCAGATAAATTGCTTGCCCCTAAATCCTTGCTCCAGGGACTCCTGCTGGGAGAGTTCAATCTAAAAAACATATTGTATATCATAGGGTAATTTTGAGGGTTAAATGGGAAGGCATTTAAAATGCTCAGGGAAAAATAAACTGTGGTGAGCATTAGTAGTAGGCATTAGAGTAGATATTGGTCTCCTGTCCCTTTCTTGGTCTCCTATCTCTTTCCCAGGAAGAATATGACACAGTGAAAACTACTTCTTTCCAGCTCCCCTGCAGACATTTGAGTTCTCTGCAAGGGAGCGGATGGGCGAGTGGCTATCTGCAAGGCTGTCTCCCCAGTGCTCTGGATCCTGACTTAGAAAGGGTGTGAAACTCCCCGCACGTGGGGCATAAGTGGAGCCTCTGGGAGTTCTTTTGGGGGCTAAACAGACTCAAGGACTAATTAGCTAATGCCTTTGGAGTGCCTGGGAATGTCAAGTGCTGAGTGTGAAGTGCCATCACTTGAAATGGCTTCCCCTCTCTAAGCCCTCCACGGAAGATGTGTCGATTACTGTGTGTGGAGGAGCTGTTGCAGTCTCCAGTTGGGGCTCTTAACCAAGCAAATATTTACAGTCCCCACGAGGCAGCCAGGGCTTCACAGGCCCCAGAGGCTGCCGCTCGCAGCTTGGCCCAGGACCACTAGATGGGGTCTTGGGAAGTGTTTCTGGGCTCCTTGTTCCTCTATGGTGCCCATGTGGGATTCTGCAGCCCAGTATCCCCGGGCCCCAGACTACTCCTCCTGTGTGAGCTCTTCCAGGGCCCTCCCACCCACACAGCCAGGCCCTGAGGTTGCTCTTTTGTCTTTGATCATCCATCCAGTACATAAGTCTGAAATCTTTTTTTCTTCCAAACCTCTTCTTCCTCCTTCTGAAGGTGGCATCCTCATCCTCCGTAACACTTCAGGCATCTTTGATCATTACCAGAATGTTCAGCCACCTACCAAGCTGTTTGGATTCTTTCTCCATATGAGTTCTGACATCCACCTCCTGTGCATCCAATCACCACTGCCCTGGTTCAGGCCATCATCCTCTTCCCTGGTGCACTGCTCTCCTGGCCACCCTCCTACCCACTAGTCTGCTCTCCACATAGCCAGTGGAGGCTCCTTCTGAATTGCAGTTCTGATGGCATCCCCCACTCAGTGAACTTTCAATGGCTCCCTATGGTTTGCAGAATAAAATTTGAACTTTTCTGTCTGCATGGGGGTCCACTGTGATTTGGAGAAAGTCTTAGTCAAACTTTCTCATTATTTTCAACTCTCCTCTTCTATGTTCCCACTGCTCCAGCCAGCCTGAACTACTCAGGAGTTTGGGACCACTCCCCCGGTGAACCGTCCAAGCTCTTTCACCTCCTGCCTCTTTGTATATGTTTAGAGAACAGATTAAATATTAATCTGTTCTTCTCTCACCTCCCATAACAATCTGATCCATGTCCTGGGAGAGCTTTGACTTTGTATTACAGGGATGAGTAGGGAAGCAGCTTCACACCTCCTGTATTAATGCTGTGTCTGGCTAAGACATTTCTGACATCTGAGTGTGGTGCTGTAATACAGTGATCTCTCTGTCAATAGAGAGGATGGTTGCATTTAGTCCCCATTGCCGCTCACTGCTTGTTATCTAACTGAACATGTGTATGAGAGTCTGTCTTTTCTCCCTGCCTTCTAGGATCTCCTTGTACCTATTTTTTCTTCAGTGCCAGCAAACATTAGTTGTTCAATACTTGTTGAAATAATATGAACTTGTGGCTTCAGAAACCACTGTGTATAGTGGATGTGGCATCTCTTCCTTAGGATGTATTTCTATGAGCTGGGTTGATGGGACATGGCAGCCAGTGTGAGCTCCATGGGCAGAGGTCTGCTTGGAGTCCCCCTGTGGTTCCTTCTAGGTCCTGGGCTCCCCAGGTGACAGTACCTGCAGAGGCCTCCTACTGGGAGAGCTCGTGTCAGGAAGGCAGGACGTGGAAAGACGGAGGGCCTAAGGGCAGGGAGCCAATCTGGATGGGCAGGGGGAAGCTCAAGTGGTGGAAGCATTTCCTCAGCCATGCAGGGGTGGGGGTGCTTGGAAGCTGGGGCATCATCTGGCCCCACTGGGTTGGGTGGGACGGGCAATGAGGAGGTGATCCTTCTGGAGCATTTCCGTCACCTCTGGAAAGGGGCCTAGTCTGGAGTCGACTCGGATATTAGATGGCAGGAGATCTAAAGGTATTGGGTCCAGTTTTGGTTTCTGTTCTTTTCTCTTTTCCCTTAAAATAAAACAAATGGGTATCTTTACCCAGTCTAATCTGTGCAGTCCTGGGAGCCCCACATTGTGTAACACCAGGTGTTATGGCACAGCTCTTGGAGTTGAGCTACATAGTAGCCCTGTGATATGGTTTGTATCTATGCCCTTGCTCGAAATCTCATGTTGAATTGTGGTCCCCAGTATTGGAGATGGGGCCTGGTGGGAGGTGATTAGATCATGCAGGAGGTTTCTGGTGGTCTAGTACCATCCCCTTAGTGCTGTCTTACGATGGAGCTCTCCAGAGATCTGTTTGTTTAAAAGTGTGTGGTCCTGTCCCCTCCTCTCTTCCTCCTGCTCCAGCCATGCAGCACGTGCCTGCTTCCCTTTCACCTTCTGCTGGGATTGTACGTTTCCTGAGGCCTCTCTAGTCATGCTTCCTGTATAGCCTGCAGAGACACAAGGCAATTAAACCTCTTTTCTTTATAAATTACCCAGGCTCAGGTAGTTCCTTATAGCAATGCGAGAACGGACTGATACACCCTGTTGGGTCCCGACTTCACAGTCTGGTAGCCTGCTGAGCAGATAAGGTCTTCTGATCATTTTTGTTTGACCTACCAGATGTTGATAAGAAATTGAGTGACACACGTCAAGTGATTTTCGTGGCATGCTGGGGCCACTTATTGTCCTGACCCGTGGCCTGGTCTTAGGTCACAGTCAAGGAGAATGTCATTGATACAGTGGAAGACCCTTCACCATCATATGTGAGGCCAGAACAATGCCATCAAGCTAAGCTGTGTGTATCTGAACGACAGAATGACAGAGGTGGGAAAGCCTTTCTGGAACTTTGTCCCTCTCTCTCCTATTTGCAGACACAGACCTGGAGCCAAGAGCCAGAAAGGGACTTTCCCAAGGCTACTCCGTGAGTGGACGGCAAAACTGAGACCAAAACCTGAGTCTCCTTACCCACAAGCAGGTGTCTGTCCTGGTTAGAGACAGAGCGTCCCGTCTTCCCTTCCTTTGTGCCTCCCATTTCATGGCCATCAGCTCCATTGCAGACCTGTGTGGAGGCTGGGGGAAGACTGTGATGGGGCGGGCTGGGGAATAAAGACTAGGGAGGCCCAGGCTGCCCGGGATAAAGGCTGAATGCAGGGGCGTTCAAAAGCCACTGGGCACTGAGCGAATTAAGCCATGCTTGTCTCCGTTGCCTGGGTACTCTTTATGCATCGCATAATGCCATTGTTCAGCCAGAGCCAGGGGCCAGAACAAGCACTTTCTTTGCAGGTAGGCAGTAAGCGCAGGCCCGACAGCAAGAGAAGGAGCAGGCGAGGCTGGAATATTCCAGCTTGAAAACAGCAGCTGTATAATAAAGCCAGGCTGGTTTGTCTCAGGGCCCCGCTGTCCCTTCTCCCCGCCTCAAAGTAGCAGCATGAATCAGTTCACTGCGGCAATGGTCCAGGCGATGTGACTTGCATCCCCATCAGCTACCTGATTGCGGTCCCTGGATACACGAGGCGCTGGATGTGCCTGGCATACCAAACCGCCTGCCTCTGTGCCGCAGCTACTGGTAATGAAGATCGCCGGCCCCACCCCTCACTGCGGACAGAGCCGGGCATTCTTCAAGGCCACCACTGGCCTTTTATCTTGTCCAAGGCTCTGGGATAGTCACCGAAATCCTTGGGCTGCTTTTGACGGGGGCCACCAGCCCGTCTCAGAGATGCCCTGACAAGCCCCTCCGGCCCTGGGCAGACAAAGGCTTGAAAGGAGAGGAATTGCACACGGTCCAGACGCTGCTGTTTCTAATAAGTTATTTTGACACACAATTAACTGCAAAATTTGCTCTAAGCTAAGAGCTCGGGCCCTTGCAGGGTTCGTACAGCACAATTCAAGCAGGATTTGGTTCTGTGCAAACGTCACCCTTCCTGAAGGGCTAGGGATTGCCAGCTCCCCACGGTGATGCCACCCCTCTCAGGGGCGGCCGTGGGCACCGATCAGAGAGGATGCATCAGCCCGCCCAGAGCCCAGCATGGGGCCAGGGGAACCATGGCACGAGTTGGCGGGGGGGTGGATAAAGCTTACACAAAACCCTCCAACAGAGCTCCCTGAACAACAACTCTTCCTAAAATGGTGTCGCTTATCCTTTGCTGACAAAAGCCTGATTTGAGCTCTCCCCGGAGGTGGGATGAAGCGAACACATTGCCTTTTATCTCCCCGTCACTTTGAGAGGGGAGACAACTGGTACAGAGCGTGGAGGGGAGCCCTGAAGAAGGTACTCTTGAATGAAAGGCATAATCTCCAGCTCCCCTAGACCAGGAGGGGAGGCGGCTTTCATCCCCCACCACAGCTGGCTCCCCCTCACCCCCCACCCCATCCTGGAGGCATCTGAATGGGAGTGGGGAGCTCCGAAGGAGAGGCTCCTGCCGCTGCACAATGCCACACAATATTGCTTCTCCCCAGGAGCCCAGAGGAGGCCATGGGCTTATAGTGTCTTACTTTGAAACCAATTCTCCAATCAGCTATTTAAATAAGAAATATAATCTAATTGAACAACCAGCGCTGTTGGTCTGAGATGCTTCCATTTACAAGGCACTTGAAGAAAGTCCCCAAACCCCCACTTTATGAGGACCGCAGCTTAGGATGACTTACTGGGGGAGAGAGGTGCCGGAGAGGGAGGGAGGGAATTAGAGTTGGCCATTAGAAATCCAGGCTGTCAATTGCTTAAGGGGTGAACCCACGCTGTACCTGTCGGTGCTCTATGCAGAGAAAGTGAGAGAGGTCTGTGTGTTTTCAGAAAACCACCCTATAGTAGACAATGCCCTGTAACGTTGTGGGAGGGGAAGAAGGGGGCACAAAGCCTTGTCTGTCTCTCTTTTGGAAACATCTTTTTGAGTACCTACTAAAGTCATTGCCACATCATTTTTTTTTTTTTTTTTTTCAGAGGCCAAGTGGCTGTTAAGACCCTGTAGGTGAAATTTCCCTGATGAAAACTGGCCCAGCACAAGGTGGGGGCGATAGTCTTGACTGAGCCTCCCCTGCCTGAGCTCACGGTCTGCCTCCGGGACCAGCCGTGTTTTGTGTTTCTAGGCACTCTTGAGAGGGAGGCTTGAGAGCCTGTGCTGACCACTGTTGGAATCCTGAGAAAGCTCATCTGCCACATGCTAGCTTTTAATCTATGTGCAGCTAACTCAAGGGAGGCCTCATTGTTTCTTGTTGGCAAAACGGGCTGTAAGGACCATGTGAGCTGAATGTGGACTGGGCCTGGCAGGTGAACTGTGAATTGTGCTGCATACAGGATGGGTACAATTCTACTGTGATGATGGCACACAGTAGAATTGACCTGTCCTGTTCTGCCCAATTCTGCCCCACTCTATCTTGCTCCCTTCAAAATCTATGGTGCTGATGACCACCTGTGAGAGGTGATGTCCTATGTGAGGCCAGGGAGGGGAGTGTCCATTTGAGCTGGAAGGCTGCCCAGAGGAGGTGTGGCTTGAACTAGGCTTGAGCAGTGGGGAGGATTTGGAGAGCGGAGGAATGAAGGAGAGCAGAGAGGAAAGGCTTGGAGGTAAGAAGGAGCAGAGAGGGAGGGCTGGGGAAGCCAGCCTGTGGGGAGGGGAGGGGAAGTAAAACGCTGTGCTGGGGAGATGGAGGGGAGAAGGGTGGGAGGTGGCAGAAGCCTGCCCCTCCTTTCTTGGCTTCTTTGCACCCATCTGGCATCCTTGCTCATCAGAGGATGAATCTGGCTAGAGGGGAGCAGAACTGAAGAGCAGAGCTGTGCAGCCCTGGAAGCATCTAGAGACCAAGACCCTCAGGGGCAAGGGCAGGGCACTCACTCAGCCACACCGTGGGTCAGCAGCAGGGCAGGGCTAGACCCCGTGCCTCCTGTCTGCTTTGAAAGCTAGTTCTGATGAGCACCTGCTGTGTGCCAGGCACTGCTCTAACTCTTGGTGTGGTTTCCACAGTTAGTCCTATGACAAGCCTGTCAAGTAGGGAGCATTGCTATTCCCATTTTACAGACAAAGAAGCTGAGGCCTGGAGTGGTTTTGAATCTTGCCAGAGGTCACACTGCCAGGAGGAGGTGGAGTCCCCAGGCCAGCATTGAGCTCTTTTCTGTCCTCTTATCTTTGGGGGAGCTTGGCCCAGTTTCCTTCTCCTTTCCTGAAGGAGCGTGTGCATCCTTGTTGAGACCAGGAAAGGAGGTCTCAGCTTCATTTGGTATTCCCTCTCTTCTTAGCAAAGCACCTAAGTGCCTTCTGTGCTCCCCGAACGTCAGGGAACATCAGCAAACATCACTGAGGCGGGAGAGGAAGGCCCCTAAACCCGTGCCCCATGGTGCGGGAAGGGCTGGCTCACTCGACTGACTTCCATTAAACATTTGACGCATCGCAGAACTGCCGAAAACCATCCATCAGGCCACCCCCCTCCGCCTGCCTTCCCACCCTGCTCACAGAGAGGGGGTTCGGCCTCAGCCTGCATTCCCCAGCCCCAGGGAAGAGAGAGGAGAGGGGCAATACCCAGCCACAGCTGTGAAACTAGTAGGAGCGAGCACCACGTATAGAATGTCTATGTGCCCAGGCAGACCTCAGCATGTTACAGATTTTATCTCACTGAACCCCATGACTGCCAGTAGGTATGGTTACCGTTTAGTAGACATGGAACTTGACATCCAAGGGGGGCCACAGTCACTCTGAAGGCCCCCTCCACCCTTCTGCATTCCTCAATGGGGTGGGGGTAAATTAGGTGCCCCGAAGTGGGGTGGGGCTGGAGCAACATGGGGTATTCAGTGGTCAGTGCCCCGTGGAGGACAGCCCTGGCTAGGGCAGGTTGGAGGACCCTTGCACAGGGTGAGTTGCAGGACAGCTGTCCATGGGTGGAGGAACCCTGTCCTTCCCTCCACCCACTTACTGCAGCCAGACCAAGTTCTCCGGGCTCCTCTCTCTCCCTGGGGCCCCCATTCAATCAGGGGTCAGTCTCTTCAGTTCTCCCAGCTAGATGTTCCTGAATCCACCATCTCACCCGCTTTCCTCCCATGTCACGGCCCCTCTTTTTGGGGACTGCCCCAGCCTCCTGCTTGTCTTTGGCCTCACCTTGCCAATTTATTCTCCCCACTGAAGCCAGAGGGATTGTTCTAGAGCCCATGTCTGCTCTCTGGTGCTTCCACTTAAAACTCAACCTGACTGCCTTGCATGGGATGGAGCCCACATTCTGCACTCAACCTGACCTCCCAGGCCCCTCCCACCTGCCCTTGCTGGCTACCCCGCTGCTCATGCTGGGGTCTCTGCTGTGCTGTGCTCGTGGCAGAAGCATCATCCGCCTCTTTTGCCTGGTTAATTTCTGCTTAATATTCAAACTCCAATGCAGAACGCCTTTCTCCAGGGAGTCCTCCCTGATAACTTTTATGTGCTTCCTCCCAGCATAGCACAAACTGCACTGTCCCATTTGCTTCCCTGCTTGTCTGTCACCCTCTACTGACCATCGTCAGTTCCAGGAGGGCTGTGAGTGTGCCCCCCTTCACCACTGCTCCTACAGTGTAGCATGGGGCTGTTCCACAGCAGGCCCTCCGGGAATGAATGAATGCATGATGAATGAATGAATGAATGATGCCTGATACAGCTAAGACAGGAATCCCCCAAGGCGCAGCAAGGGCCAGGGACTCAGACGCAGGTGGCATCCTAGCAGGGGGAGGTGGTGTGGTGTTTGGAGTTTAACTGACACCAGTGCTTACAAGTTGTGTGGCCTCTGCCTGCCTCAGTTTGCTCACATGCAACATGGGGATAATGACAACTCCTTTACCAGGAATTTGTCCTGAAAGGCCCTGGCAATGATGCCCAGACAGCACCCAGCCCCATGCTGGTCACAGAGGAGGATAAGGTGGGGCTCCCTCTGGGGCTTGAGGCCAGGATCAGGCTGCAAGCTTCTCTGAGACAGTAGGTGGGGCTGACTGGGCTCTGCAGTCAGGAAGACTGTGAGTCTTGGGGCTACAGTCCAGGCACACAAGAGGGGGCACAGGCAAGACATTCCCCATGTTCCTCTGGGCTGGCCTCAGGCATGTGGAGGCTGAGTTGTCACCATTAGCTCATCCTTCCTTTGAATGGAGCCAAAGTTAGAACTGGCCAACGCTGAGATTACCTGCATGGGGAAGCAGAGGGACCCAGGAGGGTTTGGAATGTGGGTGCGGGTGAGGGAGGTGGAATGTGGGGAAGAACCACCGTTTATTAGTCACCTGGTAAGGCGCAGGAAGCGCTGGCTTTAATGACAGTCAGGTGCCCCCAGTTCCTGGGTGTGTGGCCATGGGCACTTTGTGTAAAATGGGTATGAAATAGCATGTGCCTAGGTGGTTGCTGGGAGGGCAGGGGGTGCAGTACAGAGGAAACGCCCTGTGCCCGGTGCTGGCCATGGTAAGTGCCTGCTAACTGAGGCCCACTGTGGAATCTTTGGGGTGCTTCAGTCTGGTAGGTATGATCTCCATTTCCAGAAGCGGACAGGAGGCCCAGGGAGGTGAACTGCAGAACTCAGGGCCATGCAGCCACTAGGGACCAGAGGGACAAATGACCTGGCCCCAGGCTCTGTGCTGAGGATTTGGCCATGGGAGACCACATATGGCAGGGTAGTATTTTTCTCATCGCCTTCACGTTGCGTTTCTTAATTTAAAGTGGGAAATTCCATATTGGGTGCTTCATCAATCATTTTTGTGAGCTCAGCTCCATGGAAAGCTCGGAAAACATTTATATTTGCGGCTCAAACTGTCGAAAATGTAAAACAATTTAAATAATATTAACATTTTAACAGCCTCCACTCACGGCTCTGTGAAATTAACCATTATCTCTTGGAGTATTTGTTAAAATTCAGCCACGGGTAAGTGGTGAGTCTCATGGGCAGCATGTTTGGGGGTGAGAGGGAAGTCCGGGGGGTACCCATGTGAGTTCCAAGAGGCTGGTCCCACCCAGGCATCCTGGCCATTCTGCCAAGCCTGTGTCCTTGCTCAGTGGACAGCCTCCTGTGGCAGGGACTGTGGCTCCTCATGTCTCAGATGAAGACCCTCCCATTGGGCTGGGTGTTGGAGGCCTAGAGAAGAACATGACACAGACTCTGTCCTCAAGGGATCCCAGTGTGGGGAAAGGTGACTGGCAAAATGCACACCGGTGTGGGATTTGTGCTGTACTCAAGAAGGGAGTGCTAGGGTGCTGGGGCATGGCAGGGGAATCAGGAGCACCTCCCAGAAGAACCTGCGTCTAAGATGGTTCCTTGTGTTGGGCACGCACTGTGTGAGGGAACAGATCCTCTCCAAGGTCTGGCCTTGCTCTAAACCTCAAGAGCCAGAGAGGGCCTGCGTTTTGTCCCAGGCAGTGAGGAAGAAAGGGCTGCAGAGCCATGCTTCTGGCTGGTTCTGTTAAAGCTTCACACGCAGATCTGGGATGGGTTCACATGAACAGGGTTGCAGACAAGAGGATGATCTGGGTGGGCAGTTGCGGGGCTGTTGGGTGACCCAGGAGTGATGAGCTCGAAAAACCAAGACTTGGGGAAGAATGATGTTATTTTCAAATA